TGCTTCAACATAATATTTCCGTATTGTGTGTGTATAACCTCTTTTTAAGTTTTGTGGATATTATACATGGTTATGCTCAGGATATATCGGCCAATTTCCACTGGAAATGCCTTTTGGTTAAACTGTCAGGAAGGAATTTGCATTTGCACTGTTCTGTTACATTTTTATATAACTTTAATGCACATAAAAAAACAGCTGCTTGTTTAAGTGAAAATACTTTTTTTGCACTAATAAAGTTGTGGAGTTGTAAAGAATTTTGTCTAGTGTCAATTATATTGTCAGTTATGTCGTTATCGCAAATTTTCATTTATTGTGATAAATATTTTTGTCATATTGCCATGCTCTACAAGTCAGCATCTTGAATGCAAACTACTGGTAACCGTAGCAACCTGCGAGCAACCAAAGCAGTCGTAGACGCTTACAGAGGTGACCAATTTCATACTAGCAGCAACCACTCACCAACTGGTTGTGGAACACACACATTCATCTAATGACCGGTGGATACCAGGTGTCACCGACCAGTACCTAGGGCTAAGTGAATGGGGCTTTAGCAGTCGATTTTGTAGAGACTGCCAGCAACCTATGGCAACCACTTGCAAAGAGTCAGTGAATACTCATTTTGCCCTCAATACTGGTTGTGGATGGTTGCCGATTAGTCTGTAGGTCTGTGTAACTGAGACCTAAGAGACCATTTTTAACTCTTGATCTCAATTCTCTGGCAGTATCTGAGCTTCCTAAATGAATGCAGTTCTGTACATATCTGCCTGCATACTTATACTTCAGAACTGAAACCAAAGCTGTACTTGTGCTTAAATTCACCACCCTCACTTCTCACCCTTACACATACATCACCATCGGCAGTGACACACTCCAGTGTATTTCCAGTTCTCCTATCCTCCCTGTGTGCCATTTAAGTCTCTCATATTTCTCCCACATTTCCTTACACCTCTCTTCTCACCAGTCACCTCCATCCCTCACCATTCTGCCACTCTGTAATGACTCACAATACAAGCCTCTTTTTTTTTTTTTAAATGCAAAACCTGTCTTCCTCTCACCTTCTTATTCAGCTCCTTCTCGCACTGTTCACCT